GAAAGAAGATGAAATGGGTTTTATCAAGAAAAGGTTTGTATTGGCCAACTATGATTAAGGATTGTATCGAATTCGCAAAAAGTTGTGAAGAGTGTCAAAAACATGGACCAATACAAAAGGTACCAGCAAGTGAGTTACATTCGATCATCAAACCTTGGCCATTTCGAGGTTGGGCAATCGATTTAATCGGACAAATACACCCACCTTCCTCGAAAAATCACAAATATGTTTTGGTTGCCATAGATTACTTTACAAAATGGGTTGAAGCTATTCCTTTAAAAGAAGTCGAACAAAAAGACATAATTGATTTCATCGAAGATCATATTATTACAAGGTTTGGGATTCCTCAAACAATTACTACTGACCAAGGCACAGTCTTCACGGGTCGAAAAGTCGCTCAATATGCGGAATCGAGAGGAATTAAGTTAATAGCTTCAACACCATATTATGCACAAGCAAATGGTCAAGTCGAGGCAGCTAACAAAGTAGTGATTGGGCTAATTAAAAAACATGTATCAAATAGGCCTCGAAGTTGGCATGAAACTCTTGTTCAAATTCTATGGGCATACAGAAATTCTCCAAGAGATGCTACAAAAACTACTCCATATAAATTAGTGTATGGGCATGAGGCTATCCTTCCTATTGATATTAACTTACAATCAATTCATATACAGAAACAGAATGAATTACCTACTGATGATTATTGGAATTTAATGTATGATGAGTTGATTTCTTTAGAGGAGGAAAGGTTAATTGCGTTGCAAAATATTGTTCGACAAAAGGAAAGAGTCGAGAAATCGTACAACAAGAGGGTTAAAACTCAACGATTTCGAGTTGGGGACTTGGTGTTAAAAGTAATTCTTCCCATGGAGCAAAAATCTCGATATCTAGGTAAATGGTCTTATAATTGGGAAGGTCCCTTTGTAGTCGAGCAAGTATATTCAAGTAATGCATATGTGATCAAAGAAGTAAATTCGAATGCAAGCAAAGTAATAAATGGAAAATACTTAAAGTGCTTTCATAACAGGATAGAATATTGATTGTTCAAGGATAAATAAAAGAAATCTAATTATTACAAAACTTTGATTTAAAATCATTGAAAGCCTTGTAAGCCTCGTCCAAACATTTTCTTCGAGAGGAACATTGAGCTTCCAAATGCTTCTTCTGCTCTAAGGTCTTCGCAAGTCGAGAAGAGATGACCTTGCCTTCCTCTATGAGACCCGTTTGACGCTGCTTGATCTCTTGACTTTGAACCTTAATAACATCTTTCTTCGAGCGAGCCTTCTCTAACTCATGTTGGAGAGACTTGATGGTGGTCTTTATATCCTTCTCTTCTTGTTGTAATTTTTGCAGAGAAGACACCATTTCCGCCGTTGAGTCTTTGATCATAAGCAAGTCAGTTCGGAGCTTTTCGAGTTTAGCACGGTCTTCTTCGCTTTCAACCTCGACATGGGTTACCTCTTGAAAGGCAGTAGACCATTGGGATCGAAGGTCCCATGCGAGGCTAAAAGGTTGGACAAATTCTTGCAGCTTAGAGTGGACTTCAGGAGGAAGATTTGAGTAAGATAATAGATCATCCATCATTTGCTGCGGAGGAGACCCAATTTGGTCAAAGTTTCGAATTAGATTCTAATGTGACCAACTTAAACATGTGTCTTAACACAATTGATTAATTCACCAAGGGGCACCAAAACTTTGGGGTACAAAAGGAATTATCAATATATTTTAGTAAAAAAAAAAAGTCTTTTTCCCTTGAAATTGGAACTATCTCCTAGTCTTGCATAGAAAGATTCTTTGATGGCTCAACATCTTACATCTTACGGTACGAGCATGAAACTTTAACTGATACTTAGGAATTTTCAAAATGGAACCAATCAAACGAAAAATTGTTAAGCGATAAACCCAAAAATCGATGGACAATCACAAATTTGTGGTTTGATTCAATTTTTAAGTTTATAAAATTGTGTAATTCAGTTTGATTTTCGGATTAATTAATATATAAAATCGTTTCAAATCGAATCAAATTATATTTATTTGTAGATATATTTTTTTTCAAATGCACAATTATGTATACAAAATTAATGCATAACATAAAAGGTATTTTACAAAATTGTAAGATACTAAAAGATGTTATTCTCTTTAAGTATACAATAGTATTTAAAAAATATTTAATAAAATTGTAAACTACTAAATTAAAATTTAGAATTAATAAAAAATTATGCATTATTTATAATGTTAAAAAACATTTAAGTGACAATATTTATGAGAATAAAATTAATATGATAATAAAATTATATTAAAGAAATATTTTACTAAAATAATAAGATAAGAATTAGTGTTAAATACACAAATGATCAAAATATTTTTATATATGGATTTAAGGTTTAGGGTTTAAGATTTAGAGTCTATAATATTTATGAGAAAAAAAAATTAATAAGATAATAAAATTATACTAAAGAAATATTTTTATTAAAATAATAAGATAAGAATTAATATTAAATACACAAGTGATTAAAATATTTTTGTATTTGTATACTTTAAATTTTATTTTTGGTATACACTCTTAAACATTTAACATAACATTAAAAATGAAAAATTTTAAAAATTTTAATAATTAAATTATATGAGAAAAGATTGGTTTGATTTGATTCAAATTCAATAATAATTCATTTAGTCTGAATAAAATCAAAATGCACTTAATTTATTTTTATTCATATAATTTTTTTAAGTAAAAATCAAACTTAATCGCACCAAAAACACGTACCCAACATTGGATCTTGTCAAACTCACCACAACTTGTACATTCTGGATCCGAGCAATTTTATTTTGTTTTTACTTTTATGTTGACTAATATTAAAGGATAAACTCTCAAAATATAACAAGAAATTAAGATTGGAAAATTGGATGAAGGATACTAGTTTATGTAAAGTGACGACCTTAGTTATAACTCCATGTACTAATTAATTAAGCTTTCATGCAATAATATATATATATATATATATATATATATATATATATATATATATTCTCTTCATGGAAAATAAGTTTTAGATATAGAAAAGTTATCCATTTAAATTATGGGGCATATTTTAAGTTTTTCTTATCCGTAAAAATTAAACGTTTATTAAAGAATAACAACAACGCCTACACATTACGTAAATTATCTGAACAAAAAGCCTTTTATTATATTATTATTGAAAGATGATTTAAATTTCATATATAAATCAAGACAAATTTATTTAAAATATTATTTTCATATTTATTTTAACTTGTTTTTAAAAAACAAAATACTTTCTAAAAAAAACATAAAATAACTAAAATTTTAAAAATAGTTTTACATAAATTCCCACTATATCTTTAAATAAAACATTGCTGTCGTTGTTATGGAGATAATACTTTAAACACGATGTTACTTTCATTTAAAAATCTTACAATATTTTTATTAATATTTTAATTTTTATGCCATATCTTTCATTCTATTTTACATCTACGTTTTTATTATTATAAAAACTAGGATAAACTTGCTTTTCAATATTATTTTAAAGATTATATATGTTTTCAAGTCATGAACTTTTGTCCATTTTCATTTTTGGTTTCCAAACAAATTTATTTGACTTTGATCTCTAAAATTTTTCTTCAGAAACAAAATATATTGACGTTGGAGATTAAAAATATAAGTGGAAAAAAAAAGTTTAAAAAATAGAAGTAAAAATTGACAAAATTTAAAACGATAAAAGTTTAAAAATAAAAACTAGTAAATAATTTGTTTAGGAGTTAAAAATAAAAATAGATAAAAATTCAAGAACTAAAAGCATATTTAATTTTTATTTTAGAGTAAAAAAAAGGTAAAAGATAAATAGAACTATAGAAGTAAGTGATATGAAAGATTCAAATTAAATGTGATGAGTAGTGTATGACAAAAATGGTTGTTGAACACCAATTGTATGTATTTGCCACCTATAAAATAGGGAGAGGTGATATGATTAAATAAGAAAAAAGAGATGAAAAAACATGACAAGTATTGATGCTGGTGTATAAAACTTCAAAGTGTCCAACTATAAAATAGTCTTTGCATAATTAGCTGAAAATTCAATTTCATTAATTGTTATAAGTAATAGTAAAAAATTCAAATGAAAATAGCATTACCCATATATAATTACTAGCAGAGCTCTAAATTTGTCGTGTTTTAGAAAGCACCCTTCCAACGATGAGTGAGAATAACACGTGTCAGTGCATTAAGGAGCCTTCCCACGTGGACGCGTGTACAATAATATATTTCACCATACGTACACGGCTATGCAGAAGGCAGTGAAACATCGTCGTCATTGAATTTCAATTTCTCATGAATTCATGCGTAATTGTGCCGAAAAGACATCAACTATTAACTAATCATTTAATTAGTTATAATATGGAATAGTGATATCACCGGTTATTTGGGGTACCATTATTTAATTCCGCGTTTCATCGAAGCTGCCAAACGAAGGAAGTATACTTTACATGGTAACCTTCTACGAATAAAACTCTCTAAAATTTTGGTAAAAATAATTCGTGGTTTTCAATTCCTACCATGTAAAGATAGCGATTGGCCAATTATTTTGCTATTTTATTATTTTCTATAATGAGATTTCAGTATATACGTATTATTATATCAGTTCTGTACAGTGTTTTCTTAAAGGATATTCAAGGCTTCGGGTGCAAGTTTAACAGGTTAAAATTAAATCAGTTCCTTTTGTTAGAATTCCTGTTAGTAAAATAATCTTAATATGTATTTATTCAATCTTTTGCGTAACTTTGAGGATTAGATAATGCTTCATTAAAATATAATTCATGCTATTTTAATAACATATAAGGATTTTTGGTTGAAAGCGAGGGGGAGCAACCCTTTCTCCAATATTCTTTTCTTCTATAAATAGTCAAACAGTATTACTCATTAAACCTACTTCAAAACAAGACTCTCCTTCTCTGAAGTGTGAAACAATCCAATGGAAAAGATGATGCAGCCAGAGGATCAACAATCTCCATGGTTATTCTATGAAGAGATGAACTCAACTTTTGATCAAGGTGTTGAGTTATATGGCTTCACCATGAATAACCATGTTGATTTTGAACCTTATGGCTTCACTATGATGGATGATCATGTTGATGATTGTGGACTCAATACCCTATTGAGTTCTCTAGAGGACACTACTTCTGAAATATGCTCCATCACCTTTCCTTCCTCCCACATATTCCCCAATGATCATGTCCAATTCCCAATCAATGAAGAAACCCTTTACCTTCCAACACTGATGGAGTTGGATGATTTTGATTCCATATTGAGTGCTCAAATTGTTAGTTCTCAAGGTGAAAGTGAAGGGAGTTTCTTCCCTTCACAGAATTTATCCTCCAGTGAGGTGGAAAATGATGCATGGAGTCCTGCCTTATCTGTGAATTCAGAATCATCCTCAATTCATACACCACCTCTGACTTTACCACAAGAACACATGGAAATTGACAACCAAGTGAGTCTTCCACACTTGATGGAGGCTTGCGGAGAGGCCTTGGAGCAAGACCAGAAAGCACTGGCAGAAGTGATTTTGAAGTGCATGAGCCAGAAAGCTAGTCCACTTGGTGAGTCTCTAGAGCGCCTTGCATTTTATTTGTCTCAAGGCATAGCAAATCATGGAGACTATCTCAAAGGGGAGGCCTTCAAGAACTTTAAGCCTGCTTTGACGGCACTCTATCAAGGAAACCCAATCGGGAAAGTTGCTCACTTTGCAGCTATTTCAGCAATTGTTGAAGCCTGGCCACAAGATTGTGATGTTGTGCACATAGTGGACTTTTGTATTGGACATGGGGAGGAATGGCCTATTATGATTGAAGCTATTGCACACATGCACAAAACATTGAAATTGACATCAATCAAATTGGTTGATCATGATGGCATTGAATATTGTTCCACTCCATGCAATTTTGAGGAAACTAGAAGGCAACTATATGAACATGCCAAAACTTATGGTGTGAAGTTAGTGGTAGAGGAGAAAGGAGTGGAGGAACTTGTTGCTGAGATTAACAAAAGGGGTCGGAGAGGAGAGTTTTTGGTCTTCAATTGCATGATTGACCTTCCACACATGGGAAGACTAAGAAGTAGAAGACATGCCTTAGAGTTTCTAAGGGTAGCTGAGGATTTGATCAATAGCTCTGGCAACAGGGGAATGATCACTTTTGGGGATGGTGGTGCTTTTGAGAAAGTGAAAAATTGCTTGAATTTCAAGTCATTTTTTGATGGACATTTGGTGCATTACCAAGCCTTGTTGGAGTCTGTTGAATCACATTTTCCATCTCATTTCTTAGAAGCAAGACTTACAATGGAGCAATTATTTTTGCAACCTTGTATTTCTTCTCTTGATTGGTTGCAAACATGGGAGGAAATGAAAAGGGATTGCCATGTTGAGGCAAAGATTAGCTTAGAGGGTTGTAGATTGGGCAAAAATGTTTTGATGGAAATCAGAGAAGTGTTGAGAGGAAGTGAAGGTTCCTATCAGACCAGGATTGAAGAAGAATATGACAATGAACTGGTTTTGGAGTATAAAGGAACTCAACTATTAAGATTTTCAACTTGGAAAAAAAACTAAGCTAGATGGTTACTTTTTTGTGTGTGTATAAGTCAGAATTACACAATCAGAAGGTAGTAGTTATTATAATTTGATTTGTACAGATTCATGCTCATATGTACCCTTAAACACATTATATAAAGAAGTTCATTCTTTTTTCCCATGATATTTAACAACTTGTTTGCAAACAACCTTACTTTATTGTTATGTTTGCACCTTGATTTTATTTATTTTAAGCTAAACTGCTAAAGACAATAATATATTAATGAAAAGGGACATGAGGTGATAAGGGTACCCTGATCATATGCAAAACTGGAAACTAATCAACCTATAATCTGAATACTAAAACCGACCAACCGTATACGGTGTATGGGATCTACAGACCCTTTAAGCATAATATTGGGTTTATAGACTACTCAAAAAGAGAAAAGAGAAACTCTTCACTCTTCAACTTGCTCAACATGACCAAGATCTTAATTTTTAAGGGCTCAACACATGTTCATTTTATGTTATTGTGTAAATATTCATTTTAATTATTAAATTGGTAAATTTTGAAAAATACATTCTGCATAATCGTGACCTCAAATTGACAGATAAAGTTAAAAATGAATTACAAATTGAATTTGGAGACCAACTGAAATAATGAAGATAATCAATTTGATTATATATCTCTTTATAGCATTGGATTTCTTCTATAGTTCATTTCAGACTAATTTTTTCTACACTACATGGAATGTAGTACCGAATTCAATGTTGGGCAGTTTTTAAAGAAACTAGTAAATTATAGTACTTAAATATGTTTTTAATCTCTAGTTATAAAAAGATGAAGTGTTATGCTTTCTATGATGACATTTTCACCCCATAGCTACTTAAACTCCTCTGAGGAAGTCTAGTGAGCTTCGAGGTGTTACTGTGACTATTAAATAAATTTTATTATCGAGCCGGACGTGCACTTGGCACCAGCCACTACTACCAAGCTTTTGCTTTTTCCCAAGCACTTCTCTTAATCACGTCGCTCATCACGGAGACTGATTCGCTGCTGAAGAAAGGAGGATTTTATTTGAATTATATATCACGTAAACGTAAGATTCTTGTGGGCAACACATCAACTGTTCGACAAAATGCCCCTGCGAAATCCTACATGAGCTTTGTTATTCGGGATCTGGATCTGTTGCCTAATTATAGACCTGGTTGCTATTAAGTGTTTTCGGGGAGTGTCAAGAGGAATGCGTAATCAGTTACTGAAAAGAGGAGGAAATGCCCTCAAGGTGTTTGACAAAAGATACTAAGGCTGTCAGCCTGCCTCCAACTTCACTGGTGCCGTCCGGTAAGTTAAGTCTTACTTCACTTTTCATCTTCATCATAAGGCTTCCAAAAGGGGGAATGGAGGGTGCTCAAGGAAAGTTTGGAGGACACCTCAGTAAGATTCTGAATAATTCTACGTCGTTTTTCTTCACCAATGTGGCGGACAATCAGGAGATATCAGTGCTGTGGAAATTTTTTCAAAAATGGGGAACGGTAGTAGACGTGTTTATTCCAAAAAAATGTGATAAGCAAGGACAGAGGTTTGGTTTCGTACGGTTTTCTGGCGTCTGTGATGTGGTGGGTTTAGAAAGGAGTCTGAACTCTATTGTTATAGGAGCACGGAGGCTAAAGGTCAACCTCTCTCGTCACTCACGGAGGAAGACAAACCGATGTCATGTTGATACTCGGGTGCAAAGTACAAGGCAACCTGGGCCTGGTGGAGCAAAGCTCATTCATGGAGCATCGTATGCGGATAAATTGAAAGGAACGAAGAGGTTTGACACTAGGGAGTTGAAGGACAATATCGATGAGCCAGCTTTGGGGGGAAAACAGTGGGTGCGTAAAAAGGAACCGTGGGGTCATCTTCATTTCAAGGTTGATGGTCAGGTAATTGAGGAATGCCAGCGATCTTTGGTGGGTCGGCGTCATCGTCATATTCAGTTGAACACGATTCGTCAAGAGTTACTACAAGAGGGTCTCCTAGATATCAAGGTGACAACGATGGGTGATGATATGGTACTGGTGGAATCGGATGCGGATGTTAATCTTCAGGATACGGTGTCAATGTATCAAAAGCTTTGGGAAAGGTGGTTTTATGAGTTAGTCGAATGGCATCCAAGGATGGTTTGTGTACGACGTGAGACATGGGTACGTTGTTATGGCATCCCCCTTCACGCATGGTCAAATGAATTTTTTTATTAAAATGGTTTCTTCGATGGGGGATTTCATTCAAGTTGATGAAGTTACACGGGAAAGAAGGCATCTTGATTATGCTCGAATTCAAATGAGTACGACGTATAAGGCGCTGATCAATGAGGAGACACGAGTGTTGGTGAATGACTTATGCTTTTCGGTGCGTATCGTCGAGGAACATGGGGGACAATTTATGACAAAAGGATGGACTAGTGATGATAGCACCTTAGAGGATGTCTCCATTGATCAATCACTTGATTTGGACGATGTGGAAAATTTTTCTTCTGATGAGGATAGAGGGATGGAGGAGGGCCAAGTGGAGTCAATGATTAAAGAACGAACGAATGGTGAGGCTACATCGGGGATTGGCAATGATGACAGTGGTGGGAATTGTGTTGAGAGGGTAGAGCAAACGGTGGAAGAGGTAACAGAATCTACTAGGGAAGTTACTATTAATAAAGATTTAGTAATGGAAAGTTTTAATGTAATTGAAGGGGTGACTTTGGATGAGGATGGTGGACTGATAAGCAATATGAGTAGGAAGGTTAGTAAAAAGAAAGGAGTGCTTAGTATAGGGGGTGATGTGATGGGAGATGAGGGAGGGGTACGAACAGAGGTGGAAATGGAGGTGACTACAGCTGTTGTTCATCCAGTTGAAGAGGAGAGGAGTATTAAGACTAGGGAAGGGGTGATGTCAATAAACACCCTTCAAGCCAAAACTGCCGAGCCAATTGGAAGGAAGAATATGAGAAGTGTACTAAAAATAACTAGAAAGCTAAAGCAGAAAAAAAGGGTCTCTCAAGTTTCGTCGTCAAACTAGAGATTTTGTGTCTGCAAAGACTGTTGAAGATGGGGTGTCAAAGAAACAAAAAGTAAGCTCAGGCAGTACCAAAACTGTAAGTGAATCAACCCAAATACCAGTGTTACTCTCTTGCTTACATTTCTTAATAATACAATTGTCTTCACTTTCAGGTCTCGACCACTAAAAAGCAAGATAAAGAAAAAGGAAAGATGGTAGTTTCTCTTTCCAAGAAAGCCCAGAAGCCTCCGACTGTGAAGCTTCTTCAAGATGCAATGAAATCGGTGTCAAAGGTAAGTTAATTTTTTTTTTCGATTTATTTTCTCTATGTCATTGACTTCTCTAACACCTTTTTTATTGCAGGAAGTTGAAGTCATCCAACTTGATTCTTCTCACGATGTATCGAGAGATTTACCCCTTGTTACTGAAGTAACCCAACAGGTTCACTTTTCTAGCTTTTGGTCTAATAACCTTTCCTTCATTCTTCTCACCACAGAATTTATGTACAGTTGACCACACCTCAGTTGAACATTGCTGAGATTGCTTCTGTGGTGGCTTCAATCGAAGTCCCTCCTCAAGTCGAAGGAGACAAACTTTTCGACCCTGAATCTTCGGCTATTGTGAAGACCTTACATGATTCTGCTCAAGGTGAACCCTCTTTCGAGCTACAACCTCCCTTGAGTCCGAACAAGGGTATATTTCTTTCGATTGTACAATCTCGTCATGATTCTTAATATCATCCTCTTATATATTCTCTTTTTGTGCAGGGTCGACTGAATCGCCTCGACCTTTTACTGCTTCTCCCTCAACTCAAGGAGGTGCTACCTCTTCTGTTCAAGGCCTTTCTTCGATTCCTTCTCTTGACTTGGATTTGATGAGCTTCTTCAATGATGAAGATGAAGATATTAACAGTATCTTCGAGGTCTTAGATAATTGGACGAGTGGTCCTTCGGAGTCGGAGAAAGAAAAAGTTAAAGTTGTCGAAGAAATATCTTAGACTCCATCATATCAACCTCTACTCGACTCTTTTCGATCGAAGGCATATGTCGAAGATCTTGACCAGGCCTTTCTCCTTCCTGAATTCAAGACAGAGGTTGAGCAAATGATGGATGATCTATTATCTTACTCAAATCTTCCTCCTGAAGTCCACTCTAAGCTGCAAGAATTTGTCCAACCTTTTAGCCTCGCATGGGACCTTCGATCCCAATGGTCTACTGCCTTTCAAGAGGTAACCCATGTCGAGGTTGAAAGCGAAGAAGACCGTGCTAAACTCGAAAAGCTCCGAACTGACTTGCTTATGATCAAAGACTCAACGGCGGAAATGGTGTCTTCTCTGCAAAAATTACAACAAGAAGAGAAGGATATAAAGACCACCATCAAGTCTCTCCAACATGAGTTAGAGAAGGCTCGCTCGAAGAAAGATGTTATTAAGGTTCAAAGTCAAGAGATCAAGCAGCGTCAAACGGGTCTCATAGAGGAAGGCAAGGTCATCTCTTCTCGACTTGCGAAGACCTTAGAGCAGAAGAAGCATTTGGAAGCTCAATGTTCCTCTCGAAGAAAATGTTTGGACGAGGCTTACAAGGCTTTCAATGATTTTAAATCAAAGTTTTGTAATAATTAGATTTCTTTTATTTATCCTTGAACAATCAATATTCTATCCTGTTATGAAAGCACTTTAAGTATTTTCCATTTATTACTTTGCTTGCATTCGAATTTACTTCTTTGATCACATATGCATTACTTGAATATACTTGCTCGACTACAAAGGGACCTTCCCAATTATAAGACCATTTACCTAGATATCGAGATTTTTGCTCCATGGGAAGAATTACTTTTAACACCAAGTCATGAAGGAAAGGTTATTAGACCAAAAGCTAGAAAAGTGAACCTGTTGGGTTACTTCAGTAACAAGGGGTAAATCTCTCGATACATCGTGAGAAGAATCAAGTTGGATGACTTCAACTTCCTGCAATAAAAAAGGTGTTAGAGAAGTCAATGACATAGAGAAAATAAATCGAAAAAAAAAATTAACTTACCTTTGACACCGATTTCATTGCATCTTGAAGAAGCTTCACAGTCGGAGGCTTCTGGGCTTTCTTGGAAAGAGAAACTACCATCTTTCCTTTTTCTTTATCTTGCTTTTTAGTGGTCGAGACCTGAAAGTGAAGACAATTGTATTATTAAGAAATGTAAGCAAGAGAGTAACACTGGTATTTGGGTTGATTCACTTACAGTTTTGGTACTGCCTGAGCTTACTTTTTGTTTCTTTGAAGTTTCGATACTCTGTAAGGTAAAAGCTTGAAAAGGTAAGATGAAACATTCGAAAAGTTTTAGTAAAAAATGTGAAATCGAAGTGAATGGTACCTTAGAACGTAAAGAAACTTTGTCAGCAACGGTCTTTCTTTTTCGACCTTTCTTTGATGTCTCCTTATCTTCCGTCGCTAAAATTTTGGTCACCTAACTTATGAAGACCAATTTTGCGACCGAATTTTTTGGTAGCAAATTCCGTCGCTATTTTTTGTATTTATTTAATAAAAACATTTTATGAATCAGTCGCTAATTCGGTCGCTAAAAAACTGATATAGCTACGGATAAAATTGGTCGCTATTTCGGTCGCTAAAAAATTGATGTAGCTATGGATAAAATCGGTCTCTATTTCGGTCGCTAAAAAATTGATCTAGCTACGAATACAATCGGTCGCTATTTCGGTCGCTAAAAACTTGATGTAGCTACGGATAGAATCGGTCGCTATTTCGGTCGCTAATAGCTTGAATTAGCTACAAATTGATTTAGTCGCTATTTCGGTCGCTAAAATATACCAGTATTTTAAATTCTTTTTAAATTATAAATTTATACCTGTTAACGAATATGAAATTAATAATATATTTATTACACAATTTATAATAATAAACTAGAACATATTAAAAGACATAATCTTATCGATGTAAATTTATATTATAATGAAAACTAAATAAAATATAAGTATGTTAATATAGTATGCTAAAAACAAAATAATAACATAAAACGTTTAAACTTCAACAAAGTAATAGTAAAATACAATAAAATATCCTGAAACAAGTAAAATAAAGAAGCTTAATTAAGGGTCTTCTGCTATGTCATCAAGAACATCATCAACAGCATGGTCAGGATCATCTGGGGTAGTACTCGGTGCAGGAGGGGTTGGCCTTAAAGGGTCAATGTTGAGATGGCGTAGTATATACCGCATCTGCTCATCATGCTGTCATATATGCTCTTCTAATGCTTTTTCCTTTGCTTCCTTTACAGCAAGCTCAGCATTTAATTCACACCTTCAACAACCAAAACATAAAAGTCTACAACAAGGGGTCTCCCATCAATGCAAAAGAAGCTTAGATGGATAGCACTATGTCTCCAAAGTACATGCAACTTTTACATATAAAAGCAAAGACATAGCTGGACTTTCCAAGAATGAAAGATGAGAAGGGAGCATAGAGATTACAGAGAATATAATCTGTGAAACAGTGTGGATAGAAATGATGCAAGTAGTGGAAAGGATAGAAATGATGCAAGTAGTGGAAAGTATATGAGCAGACAAAAGAAGATTAACTATAATGCATGGTAAAGTTATGGCATGAAAGAAGGGCTACACATAGATAGGTCCGAGAGATAATTTATATCCTAAGTTGACCAGTGCCACTACCATGGAGAAAAGATTAATTACCCACCGCCCATGCCAAGCCACATTGTATCCAACAACCCTTATCTCAATAACTATAACTTACTAAGCATAGTTATATAACAAAGAAAACGCTTAAAATTTATATTTCATGCGTATTCATTACAAAATCATAAATCATAATTATTTATTGCTTTATAATACAAACCATTAATTATTTTTTTAATGTTATATATTTTGTAAAAACAAGAGAAGCAAAATCTGTTTATGTCTTTTTCAAAAGAAAACTGAAAAAAAAAAAAAAACGTCCTATTGCAGTTAAGTTTAACGACGTGGTGGGACCCACCTATCACGGTTGGCGTATGCCGCATAGCGCCATAGCGCACCCCACACATGTCCCACACCGTGAGCTGTCAACCAAGTTTCAATTTACTACTTCGTAACTACACATTAGTATTTCAGTATTAATTAATAAATTCATAAATTAATTACTACGAACTTGATGATCAACAAACAAAGGCTGATGCAAAGGACGTTGCAATATGTAGAGTGGAA